AACCTCTCTCTCTCACAGTACACACCACCAACCCCTCTCTCTCTCAGCACACACCACCAACCTCTCTCTCAGCACACAACACCAACCTCTCTCCCACAGCACACACCACCAACCTCTCTCTCTCTCACAGCACACAATACCAACCTCTCTCTCTCACAGCACACACCACCAACCTCTCTCTGACAGTACACACCACCAACCCCTCTCTGACAGTACACACCACCAACCCCTCTCTCTCACAGCACACACCACCAACCCCTCTCTCTCACAGCACACACCACCAACCTCTCTCTCTCTCACAGCACACAATACCAACCTCTCTCTCTCACAGCACACACCACCAACCCCTCTCTCTCACAGCACACACCACCAACCTCTCTCTCACAGCACACACCACCAACCCCTCTCTCTCACAGCACACACCACCAACCCCTCTCTCTCACAGCACACACCATCACTACCACACACCACCCACCTCTCTCTCACAGCACACACCACCAACCTCTCTCTCTCTCACAGCACACACCACCAACCCCTCTCTCTCACAGCACTTACCACCAACCCCTCTCTCTCACAGTACACACCACCAACCTCTCTCTCACAGCACACACCACCAACCCCTCTCTCTCACAGCACTTACCACCAACCCCTCTCTCTCACAGTACACACCACCAACCTCTCTCTCACAGCACACACCACCCACCTCTCTCTCTCACAGCACACACCACCAACCTCTCTCTCACAGCACACACCACCAACCTCTCTCTCACAGCACACAACACCAACCTCTCTCTCTCTCAGCACACACCACCAACCCCTCTCTCTCACAGCACACACCACCAACCTCTCTCTCTCTCTCTCACAGTACACACCACCAACCCCTCTCTCTCACAGCACACACCACCAACCCCTCTCTCTCACAGCACACACCACCAACCTCTCTCTCACAGCACACACCACCAACCCCTCTCTCACAGTACACACCACCCACCTCTCTCTCTCTCACAGCACACACCACCAACCCCTCTCTCTCTCTCTCTCACAGCACACACCACCAACCTCTCTCTCACAGTACACACCACCCACCTCTCTCTCTCACAGTACACACCACCCACCCCTCTCTCTCACAGCACACACCACCAACCCCTCTCTCACAGCACACACCACCAACCTCTCTCTCTCACAGCACACACCACCAACCCCTCTCTCACAGTACACACCACCAACCCCTCTCTCTCACTGTACACACCACCAACCCCTCTCTCTCACTGTACACACCACCAACCTCTCTCTCTCTCACAGCACACACCATCAACCTCTCTCTCTCACAGCACACACCACCAACCCCTCTCTCTCTCACAGCACACACCACCAACCCCTCTCTCTCTCACAGCACACACCACCAACCCCTCTCTCTCTCACAGCACACACCACCAACCCCTCTCTCACAGTACACACCACCAACCCCTCTCTCTCACTGTACACACCACCAACCTCTCTCTCTCTCACAGCACACACCACCCTCTCTCTCTCTCACAGCACACACCACCAACCCCTCTCTCTCTCACAGCACACACCACCAACCCCTCTCTCTCTCACAGCACACACCACCAACCCCTCTCTCTCTCTCACACACCACCAACCCCTCTCTCTCACAGCACACACCACCAACCTCTCTCTCACAGCACACACCACCAACCCCTCTCTCTCTCTCTCACACACCACCAACCCCTCTCTCTCACAGCACACACCACCAACCCCTCTCTCACAGCACACACCACCAACCCATCTCTCACAGCACACACCACCAACCCCTCTCTCACAGCACACACCACCAACCTCTCTCTCTCACAGCACACACCACCAACCTCTCTCTCTCTCACAGTACACACCACCAACCCCTCTCTCTCACAGTACACACCACCAACCTCTCTCTCACAGTACACACCACCAACCCCTCTCTCTCACAGCACACAACACCAACCTCTCTCTCTCACAGTACACACCACCAACCTCTCTCTCTCTCTCAGCACACACCACCAACCTCTCTCTCACAGTACACACCACCAACCCCTCTCTCTCTCAGCACACAACACCAACCTCTCTCCCACAGTACACACCACCAACCTCTCTCTCTCACAGTACACACCACCAACCCCTCTCTCTCTCAGCACACACCACCAACCTCTCTCTCAGCACACAACACCAACCTCTCTCCCACAGCACACACCACCAACCTCTCTCTCTCTCACAGCACACAATACCAACCTCTCTCTCTCACAGCACACACCACCAACCTCTCTCTGACAGTACACACCACCAACCCCTCTCTGACAGTACACACCACCAACCCCTCTCTCTCTCTGACAGTACACACCACCAACCCCTCTCTCTCACAGTACACACCACCAACCCCTCTCTCTCTCTGACAGTACACACCACCAACCCCCTCTCTCTATCTCTCTCAGCACACACCACCAACCTCTCTATCTCTCACAGTAAACACCACCAACCCCTCTCTCTCACAGTACACACCACCAACCCCTCTCTCTCACAGTACACACCACCAACCTCTCTCTCACAGTACACACCACCAACCTCTCTCTCACAGCACACACCACCAACCCCTCTCTCTCACAGTACACACCACCAACCCCTCTCTCTCTCTCACAGTACACACCACCAACCCCTCTCTCTGACAGTACACACCACCAACCCCTCTCTCTCACAGTACACACCACCAACCCCTCTCTCTCTCTCTCTGACAGTACACTCCACCAACCCCATCTCTCTATCTCTCTCAGCACATTGACGCAAAGCTCACAGCACCGTGCCACTTGTTCTGGCCCAATGTACTGAATATTAACTCGAATAATTGTGGCACAGTGGTAACACCTGTGGTGCCTCACAGCGAGAAGCTCCTGGATTCTATTCCGCCCAGAGGCAAAAAAAACACACTATAACTGGTATTTTTTAGAACAGTTTTTTTGCGTTTAGTTTGTCCTCCCACACCTCCGATTAGCAAGGATGGTGCGAAAGAAGTCCAACATATATAACTAAATATCCCAATGATGAAAATGTATCTACAAGTACTCAATTGGGATTACATATAGCAAATCGCCCCCTACTGCAAACACTTGACAGGACCTTTGAGACTCAAGTAAGGCTTTCCTGGGTAAACAAGTGTGATGATCATAATAACGATGGTCTCATTTACATCACATATTTCTTGACATACTATCGACTAGAGTACGTACACATGCTACACACGACACTCAAGAGTGACAGCCTTGCTGCAGGAGGATTGAGAACTAAACCCAGCTTCCTGCCTCTTTCCACGTGTCACGAGCTCCTTCACTCGCCCACTCTGGCCCTGCTGCTGCTGCCTCGTCCCCATCTGGACCAAAAGGCAGCCAGCCAGGTCCTTTACAAAAAGTATAAGAGTTCTCATTTTAATTTGCTGCATTCATTCAATTGTACACCCACGCACGCACGAGTGCGTGCATGCACAACTGCCACCCACACAGAATACATGCCAATCTGTGGCACACTCGAATGTGCATTCATCACAATATACTAATTTTGAAAACTTCTACTACGCACGTATCTTTTACTAACGAATCGTCTGACCAATAATGGGCTAAATAAAGCAACTTCTCTGTTCATCAGATTTGAGAAATTTGAAAAAGAATTAAGACCACACTATAGTAATCGATGTAATCAGTACAGTATTGTAAAACCTACAAATGAATATTAGTTGCTACTTTAAGCTTACAACACATTTTTTAAAACTATATTATAGTAACTACAGAAAAGTTATTTTCGTAACATTATTTCAAAGTGCAGTGCAACATTATTTGGACATTGTAATTTTATAAATCACCTGTCGTACTTTTGTACGGTGTCTTGAGATGCGGTCCCATTCAGAACCTAAATAAAGCCAAATTGTATTGTATAGTATATGTAGTGTGGTCACAGAATTTGCAAGTCAATTGTTACGTATATAAAGGCACACTTGTTCCTGTCAACACAGATTTAACACAAGCCAGGGCAAAAAAATACCATCTCAAGTTGCTGTCCTGCTCGAAATTTCCCAAACTTTTGAGTACAACTGAAAACATACAGTGTAACAAGAAGTGTATCAAAGTATGCGCTCGAAGTGTTAAAAACAGTTTGATAATATAAGAGTGGGGTTTTTTTTAAGCGTCCGTTTCCTGAAAATGCCATATGGTTTAAAAACATGGACATTAGCAATCAAAAGTAACAAAGGCTGAGAAATGTGCCAAGAAGCAGGGCGATATGCATGCTTGGAATTACATTGAGAGACAAAAAGAGAAACTCATGGATCGGAGAACATATGCAAGTTAGAGACATCATATCGAGACGAGGGACGATTGCCAGTGGTCGAGATGGAGTGAGTGGCAGCCAAAGGAGAGAACACACAGAGGACCCCAACTGCAGAGATGGAGCAATGAAATATACTCGTGTGCAGGCGCTAGATGGATTGTTGCACGTGACTTTAATGCATAGGTAAAAGATAATGACAATATCCTTCTATGCTTGTGTCAATTAACACGAGTGGTGCCTTCCAAGTCTTAGAAATTAGTAAGGCGGCAGCAGCAATAGGTCGTGGGTTTTACGATTAGTTTGGCTACAGCCACTATACTGTCCAGTACTGTAACAAAACTTGGTTAAGGTAGTAACGGTGGGAGTGTGACCGAAAGCTTTAGTCAACCAAATTAAAAGGCACGCTATGCAAAATAAAATACGATATCATGCGCATGGCTATCACACACACACAAAGGTGTAACCTCCGCTTCTCTGCAACGTGCCTCTGAGCACACCACCACGCCAGACAAACAAAAGGCGTCTTTTCCCTCTCCACCTTTCCCATTGTACAGCTGTGAGCATCCGCGCACAAGCGGCTGGCGTGAATGCGTCTCTAAAGCCCCATCAACCGGCGAGTCATCATGAACCACGAGGCGACGAGGGATACCTACCAGTCGGGCGGCAAATGACAACTCCTGCCGATGTCGTCTTGTTGCGGTGTGCGGGCCGGTGGATGTGCTGCAGTGACAGCGCTGTCCGCCGCAGCCCCTCATTGCACCGCACGCACACGCACAAACCTAAGGTGCCCTGTTCCTCTCGTGCTGCTGATGCTGCTGCTGATGCTGCTGCCTGCCCACGTGGCCATTATCGGCACCAGCTGCGCGTGAACGTCAGAGGCGTGGGGGGGGCGTCCTGTGTGTGTGTGTGGGGGGGGGCTGCAGGCTCGCTCGCTCACGGGGAAACACGCCGGGGAGGGCCGGCGACTGCAGCCTCCCCACGCACGCAGCACGCAGCACAGGCGGCCTGGGTGAAGCAACAGCGCGGATAGAGAGCGGCCCCCCCTCCCCTGTTGTGCCTCTTGCGTCGTTGTCGGTGCACCCACCGGGGTGCGTCACGGGGATCGATTTCCGGCCGCGGTCTGACATCAAGCGGTGGGGGTTCTGTGAACCCGTCCGGGGCCTCCTCCAGATCGCGACTCGGGTCTCACGCGAGAACTTAAGTCGCACCTCCGACTGAGCACGTACGGTGTGAAAGAAGTTTTTTTTAAATTACAGGACTTTGTGCGGTGTGTACACATCCGCACTTTGGAGACAAAAGGCAACCCCTCTCACACACACCCACCACCCCATGCTTTCCTTTCATTTATACTGGCGAACAACAACTTTGTTTTGCCTTGTGTATCAATATGCTGTGCTGGAGAAGCTGTCGGTCTCCCCGTGCCCTGCTGCTGATCATGATGATGGCCTGCTGCTGATCATGATGATGGCCTGCTGCTGATGATGATGATGTCCAGTTGCCTTGTGGCCGTCGTGTCACGCCACGATGCCGGAGCGAAGTGACATTAAAGGCTGCGGTCCGAGTGTCACAAAACAAGCGAGGGAAATTCGAATTGACGACGGAAAACTTCACGGAGATAAGTAGCCAGAAGCACAGCAGAGATGAAGCCACGCGGGTACGCGGAACGGAACATCGGTGTCAGGTTAAACACTCACCCCACACAGCATCAACCCTCACCCCACACAGCATCAACCCTCACCCCACACAGCATCAACCCTCACCCCACACAGCATCAACCCTCACCCCACACAGCATCAACCCTCACCCCACACAGCATCAACCCTCACCCCACACAGCATCAACCCTCACCCCACACAGCATCAACCCTCACCCCACACAGCATCAACCCTCACCCCACACAGCATCAACCCTCACCCCACACAGCCTCACCCCACACAGCATCAACCCTCACCCCACACAGCCTCACCCCACACAGCCTCACCCCACACAGCATCAACCCTCACCCCACACAGCATCAACCCTCACCCCACACGGCATCAACCCTCACCCCACACGCCATCAACCCTCACCCCACACGGCCTCACCCCACACCCCACACGGCCTCAACCCTCACCCCACACGGCCTCAACCCTCACCCCACACGGCCTCAACCCTCACCCCACACGGCCTCAACCCTCACCCCACACGGCCTCAACCCTCACCCCACACGGCCTCAACCCTCACCCCACACGGCCTCAACCCTCACCCCACACAGCCTCAACCCTCACCCCCCACGGCCTCAACCCTCACCCCACACGGCATCAACCCTCACCCCCCACGGCCTCACCCCACACAGCCTCACCCCACACAGCATCAACCCTCACCCCACACAGCATCAACCCTCACCCCCCACGGCCTCAACCCTCACCCCCCACGGCCTCAACCCTCACCCCACAGGGCCCTCACCCCACGCGGCCTCAACCCTCACCCCACACGGCCTCAACCCTCACCCCACACGGACTCAACCCTCACCCCACACGGCCTCAACCCTCACCCCACAGGGCCTCACCCCACACAGCATCAACCCTCACCCCACACGGCCTCAACCCTCACCCCACACGGCCTCAACCCTCACCCCACAGGGCCTCACCCCACACAGCATCAACCCTCACCCCACGCGGCCTCAACCCTCACCCCACGCGGCCTCAACCCTCACGGCCTCACCCCACGGCCTCAACCCTCACCCCACGCGGCCCCTACCTCACTCAGACTTACACCGTATCGCCGCTTAACTCAAACAACATCAACCAAAAGGGGTCAAAAGCTCGGTTACATCATCACCACCATCACCACAACCATCAACCACAGCAAGCACTGAGATTACAAACAAGCGAGTGTGCAGCTACAGGAGGAACGACTCATCGACAAGATACACGACTTGAACAATTGCTGGCCCATGAGCCGATTAGATCCGAGCTCCCCTTTTGTGTGTCTGCCTCCCGTTCCCCCTCTTCTCTCGCTCTCTCTCCTGGCCACTTGGGTCGTCTATTCGTCTCTGTCTGCCCTGTGGGCCTGGCTTCGCCAGGTCTCTCTCCCGTCTCCCCGGCCTCGTCTTACGTGCACTGTGGTCACCCCCGGTCTCTCGATCTCCTCTCCGCCGACCACCGCTGTCCCAACAACATCATCCCCCCCCATCCTCGCACGTACCTCGTGTCCGCCTCGACCCGATGTCGTCGCTGCTCCTCTTCTGTCTCGGACTAACAAACCAAAAACCACCCCGTCGCTCTATTACCGCCGCAGTGCAACGCAGCGTTTTTTTTTTTACGGTGGATAAAGCGGACTCTTGTCGCCGCAGCTGCAGCAACAACAACAAGAAGAAGAATCGCGCTCTGAGCCCTACAACCTCGCGTGCAACGCAGGGGAGCTTGGCGAGGCGAGGAGACGCTGCGCGTGAAGCTGCTGCTGATGCTAATGCTGGGGCTGCCTGTGGGAAGTGGAACCCCCCCCCACACACAACCACAACCACCCTCCTCCTCCTCACTTCTCCCAGAGTGAGCGGCTCCTCCTCCTTCTCCATCCCTTCCTCCGTCGTCACGCGGGTGCAGTGCGGGGGTGTGCGTGTGTGGCGCGTCGGTTTCTGCGTGTGGGTGGAAGGTTGGAGTGTATGTGTGGAGGGTTGGAGTGTATGTGTGATGGGATGGGTTGGAGTGTATGTGTGATGGGTTGGAGTGTATGTGTGATGGGATGGGTTGGAGTGTATGTGTGTGTGTGGAGGGTTGGAGTGTATGTGTGATGGGATGGGTTGGAGTGTATGTGTGTGTGTGGAGGGTTGGAGTGTATGTGTGATGGGTTGGAGTGTATGTGTGTGTGTGATGAGTTGGAATGTGTGTGTGTGGAGGGTTGGAGTGTATATGTGATGGGTTGGAGTGTATGTGTGTGTGATGAGTTGGAATGTGTGTGTGTGGAGGGTTGGAGTGTATGTGTGATGGGTTGGAGTGTGTGTGTGTGTGGAGGGTTGGAGTGTATGTGTGATGGGTTGGAGTGTGTGTGTGTGTGATGGGTTGGAATGAGTGTGTGTGGAGGGTTGGAGTGTATGTGTTTGTGTGGAGGGTTGGAGTGTATGTGTGAGTGGAGGGTTGGAGTGTGTGTGGAGGGTTGGAGTGTATGTGTGTGTGCAGGGTTGGAGTGTATGTGTGTGTGAAAGGTTGGAGTGTATGTGAAAGATTGGAGTGTATGTGTGTGTAAAAAGTTGGAGTGTATGTGTGTGTGGAAGGTGGGAATGTGTGTGAAAAGTTGGAGTGTATGTGTGTGTGAAAGGTTGGAGTGTGTGTGAAAGGTTGGATTGTTTGTGTATGTGTGTGGAAGGTTGGAGTGTGTGTGTGGAGAGTTGGAGAATATGTGGGTGTGTGAAGGGTTGGTGTGTATGTCGGTGTGTGGACGGTTGGTGTGTGTGAGTGTGTGGGGGCGGGGGGTTGGTCTCAGACTCTGGCGATCCAGAGTCTGAGACCAGGAAAGGCACCGGGCAGAGATGATCTTCCAAGCGACATGGTGAGGGAGTGTGGCGTTTGTGCACAGACTGACCCTACATGACATCATTACAACAGTTTGGACCACTGGCTGGGTTACGCAGGATTGGAAGGATGCCCTGGTGGTCCCCCTCTCTAGGAAGGGGGACCGCACAGACTGTAACAACTACAGGGGCATCTCACTCCTCAGTGTACCGGGAAAAGTCCTGGAAAGGATTATTCAACATCACCTTGCCAGGCAAGCTGAGGAGAGGCTTGCGGAGCCCCAATGTGGTTTCAGAAAAGGGCGGTCCTGCACAGATGCCATATTTTCTGTCCGTCTGCTACAGCAGAGGTGTAGGGAATTCCAACAAAACCTACATCTCTGCTTTATTGACCTGATATTCTTTGGGTCTTTCGATAAAGTCACGTAGATTACCAAAAGACCCAAAGAATATCAATTCCTGCAGTCACAAAAGCTTTAAGTCAAGATTTATTGACCTGGTCAAGGCCTATGATTCCATCAGTAGGCCTGGGCTCTGGGTTATTCTTGGTGTTTTCGGAGTCCCTGACCCTCTACTCACGATCATTAAGGACCTTCATGATGGTGAGCGGGCCCAGGTAAAACTACTTGGCCGGGAGTCGGAGTCATTCCCTGTTCACCTTGGGGTGCGACAGGGATGTCCTCTGGCTCCCACATTATTCAACATATTTTTAGACCACGTAGTTTGTGAAGCCTTCGATGGCTGTACCGGAGGAATTTCCATCTGGTACAGATACAATGGGAGGCTGATCAATGCCCGGGTACGGTCAAGGGATGGCTCCCTATTGGTCAACCACGTTATGTATACCGATGATCTGGTAATTGCTGCTCACTCAGAGGAGAAGTTGGAGGCGTTGCTGAACCTGGAGCTTGCCACGAAGAGGTGGGGCCTTACCATCAGCTCCACCAAAACTAAGCACCTGCCTGGGTATTTTGTACAATCGGACACTACACCCCCACAACTTCCAATTGGTGATCGGGCTGTTGTGGAGAGAGTGGAGAGTTTCCCATACCTGGGCAGTGTGCTCATGGCCGGCTCCGGTTTAACAGCAGAGGTCTCCGAATCAGTCGAGCGGCATTATATTTTCATCGGCTGCATAACGCTGTGTGGAAGCTACCTGATCTGCCGCTCCGCACGAAGCTTCAGGTCTTCTCAGCCACGGTCATTCCCTCCCTTCTCTACGCTTGCAAAACGTGGACCCCCCTAATGGAACATCTTCGCCGGTTAGAAACATTTAGGCTGGCCTGCCTACGATCCATCCTGGGTTTAACCAGGTTGGATTGTGGGAGGAGCTCACAAATTCTTGAAAGATCTGGACAAAGTCCCATCGTTGAGCTCCTCCGGCAGGCAAGGCTTCGTTGGCTGGGTCATGTAGCCCTCATGCCCAGCCACCGCATACCTAAACAGCTTTTGTTCGGCCAAATAGAGGGGGCAAAACTGGCACGGCACGGGCTGAAGAAGAGATGGAGTTATGTACAGAAGGACGTGGAGCTAAGTGGACTTGCCGATGACTGGTACCAGCGGTGTCAAGATCGACCTCTGTGGAGAAGGCTCGTGAAGGACGCTACTGGACAGTTGGAGGCAGTCGCCCTCCAACAACAACGGAGGGCACAGGAGCGACGCTCACAACAACAAGCAGAGCGCCGGGTGGCTAAAGCACAGCAAGTTGGCAAAGTAGGGGGCACAGGTGG